CCTGTGACAAAGAAGCTGTCACAGGTCGGCTCTATTGATCGGGAAGTGAGCGAACACATACCGTTGCTCGCTCACTTCCTGAGAATCTCCCTGCAGAGAGCGGTGACTGCTAGTCACCGCTCCCTGCTGGGATTCCCCCCTTCCCCTCTCCGATCTTCCAGCACTGAGTGGAGGAACGAATGAAGGAGGGGGCGGGCACAGATGGGTCTGCCTCTAGATAGGCAGAGCCCGCTGTTGCTAACGCAGCTGGGTGGATCTCGACAGTAGGGATCCGTCCCGGCTGCGGTGCTGTCACTATATCGCGGGCCACAGCCCGCTTTATACTGAGCGTTATATATGAGCATGGGTCACAGGAGGAGATTAGTATATGTCCTCCTGTAACCCTAAAGAGAACTATGGGGAAAAACACTTAACCCATAGTTCTCCTTTAAATATTATAACAGCCTTTTGCTTTGAGTTATGTTTTGGTGCTAGTCTTGTGTTGAAGCGATCACTCCAATGCCCCCTTTCTACTTTGAAAGGGAAAAAGACAAACTAATGCAGCCACTTTATCTAAGGACTGGTAAGCTGCAATATAGCATTTTATTTTTTTGTTTTGGATTCAGTTATGCTTTAAACAAGTACAGGTACATTACATATGTGTTAATCACACATCCAGCACCCAGAACGGACACTACTTTGCTTTTGCTCAGTGCCTACAAACATGCAGGAACAATAAAAGACACTAGGAGTGGAACCATCACAGTGACAGCACATGAACCTGTATACTGCAGTCACAAAACCCCAACCTAAGCATTAACGTCTCTAATTTGCTCTCTTTTGGTCTGTATAATATTTCGTTGAATCTAATCAGCCCTCCTAGTTCTTACCTTGGACATCCATTCATCCCACGTTGTGGATGAGGAGAGGGGGAGGAATTCTTTAAAAGAGCAAAAGACAACTGGATAGGGCTGATACCATTTCAGTTCAGAAATGGCAGTGGTGTCAACTAGGGATGCTCCGATACCACTTTTTTAAGACCGAGTACGAGTACCAATACTTTTTATAATATAAAGCCAGGTATGCAGAATTGGATATAGCTGTGCCACACTATACAGTGTTCTGGACATGTGCTCATCTATTTTCCCCACTAGGATACAAGCCTTAGTAATATCTACATAGTTACTTCTGTATTTAATGTCTTTTTTTTCAAAATATTATATGCAGTTAAACAGCATTTTTGTGCCCAGCCCCCATGCGGTGCCGCAAGAACTAACCTGCTGTGTCGTCTTCTCCGTCTGCTTCAGCCACTCCGTGTCGCAGCCTAGTCATCTGCTCCATTCTGACCTCTTCTCCCGCTGATTGGCCGATGACAGGCTTCCTCACCAGTCACTCCTGACTGGTGAGGAAGCCTGTCAATCATCCAATCAGCGGGGGAAGAGGTCAGAATGGAGCAGATGACTGAGGACTTAGAGGAGTTCGTGGCCATCTTGTTTCTTTGAAGACGCTATGGAGGTCCTGTGTGCGGTGGTTTCGGGTCCGGATGGTGAACGCGGCACAGGTACTCGTTTTTGGATCGGAGTATTTGCACGAGTACTCATGCAAATACTCGGTATCGCCGCCGATACCGATGCTTGTATCGGTATAGGAGCATCCCAAGTGTCAACCCACAAATAGAAATCAGGAGCGGAACGCATTACTGCACGATCAACATGTATTTTTCTGTATTTGCAGAAGCAGTACATGTCCGCAATAGATGCTCATTTCCAATGGTTTATCTCTTTGTATTGCCCTGACAGACTTTTGGCATAATTATTCCCCGATTAAAATCAGGACTTTGAATGTTCCTCTAAAGTCAATGCACTAAACAAATCATTATCTAGAATGGCCGATGACATAAACCCCCCCACCAGAAACTGTCAGGATGCAACAGTATGGGGAATGACAGCCTTTATTTGGTACAGTTTCTGAAGCCCCCCCACCCCCAAAAAAAAAAATCTAGTGGAAAGGGGTCAGAGGTCAGGCAGCTGCATCATTTCAAGTAAAAGCGTCAATGCAAACAAAGCTTGGCGAAAGTACCAGCTGCTGCCGCAATTGCTATTCTACCCAGCCACTGTCTTCTAGACCCTTTTTTGGGATTTGGGTTGTTTAGTCAAGTCTATGGTGTTATTTATGTCACCAATCAGTCACTGGGGAGTTAACCATTATTAGTGTGTGCCAGATAGGTGGGGGAGGGGGTGTCCTGCTCGGGGTCAGCAGGACATGTGTGGTCAGCACAGCAGCTAACAAATGTTATCCTGCCATGTAAGCAATGTCTCACTGCTTCTCTGTATAGAACAGCCAATAACCTTTACAGTGTTTAATATGAAATTCACAGATTTCATTTAGATTTAAAAAAAATAATAATCTGTTGATGGGCCGAGCTATATAAATATTTCCTGAAATCTTGGCACAGTGATGAATGGAAATTTGCTGCTTGTTGAGCCCTTCACAAACTTTATTAAAGCTTATCTTGGAAAGGGTGGAGGGGCGGGGGGGTGCAACGACTCCCCATCCAGCCTCCTTCCCAGTGCACCGATTAACTTTTAATGTATTTTAATGTCTAGGGAGCTGTGTAAAGGACTATTACTTACCGGGTCCCCACTCCGTCACCAGTCAGCACTTACCTTGTCTCCCCTACGCTTTGGCTTGTGGACTGTTCCTTGGCATCCTCCCTTATAATGCAAAGCTATGGGCCCTGCATTGTACACGAGGGCCACTGACAGCTGGAGAGGATGGGGGGGGGGGAAGAGGCTGTGGGATCAAAAATCAGGCAAGTAAAAGTCCTTTACACAATACCCCATAGACTAAACATAGCATCTAACCCTTGCAGTGCAGTAGTAGCCCAATTGTAAGGGGAGTTTTTTTTTTCAAGCCTGGCCAGGAAGGGGGTCTAAACACCTGGTCTTGAAGTGGTTAAACATTTATACTGGACATAACGTAGAGTGTCCTGCAAAATGCTGACCACAGGGCTCTGTGCACACAGCATGTCAAAAGAACTGACAGCAACCAGATTGCAGCTTAAAGCCGTCTGGACAATGACAAATGTTGAACATTGCCGTCATTAAATAAAGCCCTGACAGGTTTTATACACCACATAGAGGCCGGCTTACTTCTTTTATGTTACAACATTGGAAGTACATTACACTTCATACTATTGGATGTTCATAAATAAATCAGAGTTTTGGATTCCTCGGCATTTCTGTAAATAGGAAATAAACTGACATTTCTGGTCACCAATGATATTTTATTTCACACGAGTGACATTGCTGCTGACCTGTATCATTGATCATACTTCCTGCACTGACTTATAAGAGAACGCAGAGACCTTTATAAATCCAGGCAGCCGGCAGCTTTGTTTGCGTTCTGGAACTTAGCAGATAACCGAGTCTACCTGAAGATATCAAATAGTCACGAGACCTGCAAGTGAACTTTAATACTGACCGTGCTTCCAGGTAGAGAGACTATGACCGTCTGTATTACAACCGATCATTCCAATGTCATAAGATAAAAATAAAAAAAGGCAAGCAAAAGACTGATTGTAGGATTTTTCTGCCCATATAAACAAATGGAATAAAACCTTTCCAAGGGCCATCAACTTATTTCTTTAGACCCGTCTTAACTAGATCTGATGGCCGCACCCTTCGGTGTCTGTTTACATCCAGTGCCCTTGCCCCTCTGGCAGCGTCTGCGCATTACACGCCCAATATACTCCGAAGTCTATGGGGCTGTAATGTTCAGGTGTGGCCAGCACAGAAGGGACTTGTGGCTCTGGATGTGACCAGTCACCAGAGGCAGCCATCGTTGAATCAGGGAAAGCATGCATCTGTGGAGGGGGTCTTCTAGGTCAGGGGTGGTGGGGATAGAAAATGGTAAGTGCATTTTGTCTTAAAGTGCACTTATCCTTTAAGCTGGCTATACATGTTACGACTCCAGTTCTACAATCATTTTCAGATCTACCAACACCTACATCAGGGATGCGGCTCATGTCAGACACTACTGTCAGCACGGAACTTCCGGCACTTCAGCTGTTCACAGAATACGAGATGTTTTGTGAATGGACAAGAGGAGAGGAAAGGGCAGATGAATGACAGGAAACCTCCATTGTACAAGAGCCACAGTGCTGGAAGGGCAGCAATGCCAGTAGTAGCCGGCGTGAATGAAACAAACACTCCATACTTGTTGGTAGATCTAAAGGAGATTGTAGCATCTGACGGCAACGTGTGGCGAGTCCGAAGTTTTTACTTTAAGCAGCATCCTCCATCTGGACCTGGGAGAACTATAAATAGAGATATTAGTTTTCAGCAAGAGTCAGAAAAACTTGTTTCCTGGAGTTCTGCATTAAAGCAGGCCCTCAACCTGCGGCATTTTGGTAGATCTGAGCTGACCATACATGTCACCTGACTGTACAATCCTTAGATCTGCCATGCCCGATTATACATGAACGGCCCGGGTTGTTTATTAGACCTTCACCTTACCTGCTTCTGGCAGAAATAAAGGTAAAGGAGATCGTACAATCAGAACTCTCTTCATAGATTTGTATAGAACGGGGACGGGTTAGGGTGCCCATACACTGGTGGGATTTCTGACGTTTTCTTTGAGGAACCGGGTGAAATTCGCAGTGTGTTGGGCTGTTGGCACCCGGGTCGATCGACATCTCTCAATCAGCTGATCGAAGGAGCTGGCCGGAAAATCTTCATATGATCAGAGCCGGCAGCCAATGAGCTTGCGACTCTGGGTATTCTGACAAAAGACAATACAAAGAACGGGATTCCTCGATTGACACGCTGGCAGTGTTAGAGGAATATGCTTGATTTTCCTAGTTCAGCCTTCGGGTTGAATGAGAAAAATAAAGCAGAGTATGGCCAGCCTTAGACTCTCCGTCAGCTATGTATTGCTCTCTGTATCCCCCACCGTCTATATCTGTTCTGATCACCAATCTCACCAGGAATGAAAGTGAGGGGGAAATACAAAATCTTCCAATAGTTCCTGGTGACAGCTGTTAGGTCAGGTTCACACCATTTTCCGGACCAGATCTGGTTTGCAAAATAGTGTGAACCTGCCGCAGTTCCAGGGCATTCAAGATCAGACAAAATGAGACATGCGGTATTTTTCTGGTCTGGAACAGACTGCACTGGTGTGAACAGAGGCCAGAAATAGCATAGGGATACATTAGGATGCATTTTGAGTCTGGAAATGGTCTGGAGATCTGGATGTGGTGTGAACAGCCCTTAAAAAAGGAACAAGTGAAGAGAAATCTCCTTACCGTTACAGATGGTAATAAAACAACATACTGATCAGTTTATACCTCCCCCCAAAAAAAATAAAGTTTTGGCTTGATATATACTTTCAGGGCTCATTTGCACTGGCCTGAACACTAAAACTGGGCATTTCATCGTGCCAAGCGAGGTCGGTGTGTTCTGCTCTTTCAGTGCACTACACTGTTTATGGCAGGAATGGGTAACTGCAGCCCTCCAGCTGTGCTTCAACTAAATCCCCCATCATGCATATGCTTCTAGGAGTCATGTATGTGGTTGTCAGAGTCTTGCAATGCATCATGGGACTTGTAGTTCCACAACAACTGGACAGCAAGAGTCACCCACCCCTGGTTTATGGATTTTTTCTTAACTTTATTTGGAGTGTACAATGTGCACACTGGAAGTCTAAGTTCAGATTGTGAGCTGTGTGCGCTCAGTCTTGCAGGGTATTTCTGTGGCATAGACCACTATAAATGGCAGCCAGGCCCCCCCGCACCCCTCACCTTGGCCTTCTCCGGCTGCTTCTTCTTGTTCTTCTTCTTGGGCTCCTCCGCCCTGCCAGTCTTGATGGGCACATCCGCGGCCTTGATAAGGTGGGCAGCCGGCTCCCTCTCCTCCTCTGTCCCCGCTCTCTTTGTGGGGGAACCCCGGGCCGAGGCGCAGTGCAGCAGCAGTAGAAGGAGAAGCAGAGCCAGGAAGGCCGGTACAGCCAGAAACACCCAGGACGGGTAGAGCTGGGGCTGCAGGCCCAGCTCCACTCCGAGCTCCGTGCGGAGGAGGCCCAGGCCCGAGGTAAGCAGCTGCCTTAACCTGGCAGACACTTCCTCGGCATGCTGGGCCGCCGCCTCCTGCCAGCCGGACACCATGTTGGATGGAGCAGCGGGCCCTTTCTTCCTGCCCGGCCCCGGGAACTCCTGTGAGTGTCAGCAGCAGGGAATGAGAGGCAAGAGAACGACTGGCGAGAAGCCGGCTCCGCCCAGGGCCTAACTCCGCAACGTCATCATTCCGGCCGATTGAACACCACGCAGATCAGGGTGAGAGGAGAGCCAGAATGCCTTCCAGGAAGCTCTGCCTAGAAGACGAGGCGCTTGTGAACACGGCTGTAAACGATTGGAAGGGATGTGACACGTTCTCCAATGGGAACATTAGTTAAGATCACATGGTGTTCTGCCTCTTCGGCAGAGCTGCTTCGAAGGCACAGTCTACAAGGGAGTAGGTTGTGTCACGTGATTTTTCCCAGCTGCTGACGTGGACTCAGTTTGGTGCTGTGTGGGTGAAGGAAGTTCATCTGCATCAAATGTGACTTATCGCTACAAAAGTATTAGTTTAAACGTGTATGATAAACCAGCGCAGTGTTGTCGAGGATTATTTGTAACTTTATTTGTTGTGCAGAACATTTTATGCTGCCAATATACAACATGGCAGCCCATATACAGGAGTCTTTTTCAGTGATAAAAGTACTGCGCCTGTGCAAAATTATAGTGTGAGCTGTCATTTTCATTTCACTTCTAATAAACTTTATTGAAACAAGTAAATATGCACACACGCTTAACTATTGTCACCATTCTCTCTCCAAGTCAATACGCCTTGTTTTATATTTTAGCATTGCTAAACCAGTGTTGCATTTGAAGGAGCATGAGATATCAGGGTTTAGGGAATGTTTCCAGGGATAATACAGGGATAAGGAATAATGTAAAACTAATGTTTGTCAGCTTATGTGCATTCATTTTTAAAGGAGAACTATGAGATGAGTGATTTCCACTCACCTCATAGTTCTAGGCGACCTGTGACAATGAGACTGTCACAGGTCGGCTCAGTAGATCGGGAGGTGAGCGAACACATACCGGGTTCGCTCGCCTCTCGATCCTGTCACGGCTCTCCCCCCCCAATCGCGAGTGCCGCCATCTCCTCCCTCCTGACCCCTCACCTTTAATCCCGGGATCCGCTAGCCCATCTGCGGCCCGGGACCGGCTCGGGAGGGCGTCAGGAGAAGGAGGGAGGGAGATCAGCTCCTTGCTGTTCTCCCTCTGTAGTGTGAATGCAGAAGTGATGTGTATTACATCACTTCCGCATTCACCTGTCAGTCATCTGGCTCCTACTGCCAGAGAGAAGAAG